TGGAAGATGATGGGCATACAAATGTGCAAAAAAAAAATTATACATAAACAGAAGTTGCTACAAACTACTACTACAGCTACAACTGTTTTATAGTAAAAAAAACCAAGAATAATATAAAGTGGTATGAAAACAAATTGGAGAAAAAAATGAGCGTTCAGCTTTCAAATTGTATGTAGTGGCAATATATGGTAATCCGTCAGTCAGTCATTTTAAAATCAAGAAAACAGACAAATGAATGGAGAAACGTAGGTGTTATGGCAATTAAAGAAGGGGCCATAAAATGGATTACGCCCAATAATTTTAGGCATCCAAAGAGAAATAAATGATTTCGTGTATAACAAACTGTTTCCTTAATAAGTGATGCTTGATGGACGGATGTCCGTGCATCCGTCCGTCTTTCCTTAAAATTCTTCAATCAAACTAATTAATAAAATTTTAATAAAATTTTTTACATATGCGTCCTATAATTTAAGGATAAATCTCTAAGTTTCAATTATTGTTTCAAGTTATTTCTAACTATTCTCTGTTCCAATCAAATTTGTCACAATTAATGACATTTTCATATCCTTTCACCAGCCCCCCGCTACTGTTTTCATCATCTCAATGAAAAAGTCAGTTTTGTGTAATTTTTTTTCCTTTTTCATCGGAATAATGAACAGCCAGTTACCAAATACATACAAATACACATAAAGATTCATACGTCTGTCTGCCCATAGCATACATTTGCACGTAGAGAAAAACTTCCATCATAAATTGTTTGGATTTGTAGATGAATGAGGTGGTTAAAATGTTGTTGCAGTTTATGGATTTGTCTATGTGTGTGTATGTGTGAGGGTAGTATTAAAATGAGGGACAGGGTTTTTCACAAAGAAGTTATAAAGGAATATTTCCAGAATCTAATCAAATCTTTAAAGGACTTTTAAACTTCTTTAAGATACTCTCATTGCAAGCTAAATAGCGAATACCTTAATTTTGCTTATAATTGAGAATATGAAAGCGAGAATTTCGAATAAATGAGTCGTAAGAATATAGCATTTTACAATGTAATTCAATATAACTTGCAATGCGTGGAAAACTATGAATTCAACTAGCGATAGCCTACGTTAGAAGCCAAAATCGTCGATTAAATATAGCTTACTTAATTCACCACCTACTTATACACCCTTTTATAACTATTGGTCTACTATTTTTTCCCTATTACCATCGTGAAAAGGGTATACATAAGTTTGTCATTTCGTTTGTAATGTCCACAACAGGCATTAAAAATTTAGTACTTTAGTACTTTTCAGAATAGACCATAGTCTAGTCTGTAGTCTATTCTAAAAAGTACTAAAGACGAGTCTATAGTCTAGTCTATAGTCTAGTCTATAGTCTAGTCTATAGTCTAGTCTATAGTCTAGTCTATAGTCTAGTCTATAGTCTAGTCTATAGTCTGAGTCTATAGTCTAGTCTATAGTCTAGTCTATAGTCTAGTCTATAGTCTAGTCTATAGTCTAGTCTATAGTCTAGTCTATAGTCTAGTCTATAGTCTAGTCTATAGTCTAGTCTATAGTCTAGTCTATAGTCTAGTCTATAGTCTAGTCTATAGTCTAGTCTATAGTCCTAGCTATAGTCAGTCTATAGTCTAGTCTATAGTCTAGTCTATAGTCTAGTCTATAGTCTAGTCTATAGTCTAGTCTATAGTCTAGTCTATAGTCTAGTCTATAGTCTAGTCTATAGTCTAGTCTATAGTCTAGTCTATAGTCTAGTCTATAGTCTAGTCTATAGTCTAGTCTATAGTCTAGTCTATAGTCTAGTCTATAGTCTAGTCTATAGTCTAGTCTATAGTCTAGTCTATAGTCTAGTCTATAGTCTAGTCTATAGTCTAGTCTATAGTCTAGTCTATAGTCTAGTCTATAGTCTAGTCTATAGTCTAGTCTATAGTCTAGTCTATAGTCTAGTCTATAGTCTAGTCTATAGTCTAGTCTATAGTCTAGTCTATAGTCTAGTCTAGTCTAGTCTATAGTCTAGTCTATAGTCTAGTCTATAGTCTAGTCTATAGTCTAGTCTATAGTCTAGTCTATAGTCTAGTCTATAGTCTAGTCTATAGTCTAGTCTATAGTCTAGTCTATAGTCTAGTCTATAGTCTAGTCTATAGTCTTCTATAGTTTAGTCTATAGTCTAGTCTATAGTCTAGTCTATAGTCTAGTCTATAGTCTAGTCTATAGTCTAGTCTATAGTCTAGTCTATAGTCTAGTCTATAGTCTAGTCTATAGTCTAGTCTATAGTCTAGTCTATAGTCTAGTCTATAGTCTAGTCTATCTAGTCTATAGTCTAGTCTATAGTCTAGTCTATAGTCTAGTCTATAGTCTAGTCTATAGTCTAGTCTATAGTCTAGTCTATAGTCTAGTCTATAGTCTAGTCTATAGTCTAGTCTAGTCTATAGTCTAGTCTATAGTCTAGTCTATAGTCTAGTCTATAGTCTAGTCTATAGTCTAGTCTAGTCTATAGTCTAGTCTATAGTCTAGTCTATAGTCTAGTCTATAGTCTAGTCTATAGTCTAGTCTATAGTCTAGTCTATAGTCTAGTCTATAGTCTAGTCTATAGTCTAGTCTATAGTCTAGTCTATAGTCTAGTCTATAGTCTAGTCTATAGTCTAGTCTATAGTCTAGTCTATAGTCTAGTCTATAGTCTAGTCTATAGTCTAGTCTATAGTCTAGTCTATAGTCTAGTCTATAGTCTAGTCTATAGTCTAGTCTATAGTCTAGTCTGTAGTCTAGTCTATAGTCTAGTCTATAGTCTAGTCTATAGTCTAGTCTATAGTCTAGTCTATAGTCTAGTCTATAGTCTAGTCTATAGTCTAGTCTATAGTCTTGTCTATAGTCTAGTCTATAGTCTAGTCTATAGTCTAGTCTATAGTCTAGTCTATAGTCTAGTCTATAGTCTAGTCTATAGTCTAGTCTATAGTCTAGTCTATAGTCTAGTCTATAGTCTAGTCTATAGTCTAGTCTATAGTCTAGTCTATAGTCTAGTCTATAGTCTAGTCTATAGTCTAGTCTATAGTCTAGTCTATAGTCTAGTCTATAGTCTAGTCTATAGTCTAGTCTGTAGTCTAGTCTATAGTCTAGTCTATAGTCTAGTCTATAGTCTAGTCTATAGTCTAGTCTATAGTCTATTCTATAGTCTAGTCTATAGTCTAGTCTATAGTCTAGTCTATAGTCTAAGTCTATAGTCTAGTCTAGTCTATAGTCTAGTCTAGTCTATAGTCTAGTCTAGTCTATAGTCTAGTCTAGTCTATAGTCTAGTTTAGTCTAGTCTAGTCTAGTCTAGTCTAGTCTAGTCTAGTCTAGTCTAGTCTAGTCTAGTCTATAGTCTAGTCTATAGTCTAGTCTATAGTCTAGTCTATAGTCTAGTCTATAGTCTAGTCTATAGTCTAGTCTATAGTCTAGTCTATAGTCTAGTCTATAGTCTAGTCTATAGTCTAGTCTATAGTCTAGTCTATAGTCTAGTCTATAGTCTAGTCTATAGTCTAGTCTATAGTCTAGTCTATAGTCTAGTCTATAGTCTAGTCTATAGTCTAGTCTATAGTCTAGTCTATAGTCTAGTCTATAGTCTAGTCTATAGTCTAGTCTATAGTCTAGTCTATAGTCTAGTCTATAGTCTAGTCTATAGTCTAGTCTATAGTCTAGTCTAGTCTAGTCTATAGTCTAGTCTATAGTCTAGTCTATAGTCTAGTCTATAGTCTAGTCTAGTCTAGTCTAGTCTATAGTCTAGTCTAGTATAGTCTAGCTAGTCTATAGTCTAGTCTATAGTCTAGTCTATAGTCTAGTCTATAGTCTAGTCTATAGTCTAGTCTATAGTCTAGTCTATAGTCTAGTCTAGTCTAGTCTAGTCTATAGTCCATGTCTAGTCTATAGTCTATAGTCTATAGTCTATAGTCTATAGTCTAGTCTAGTCTAGTCTAGTCTAGTCTAGTCTAGTCTAGTCTAGTCTAGTCTAGTCTAGTCTATAGTCTAGTCTAGTCTATAGTCTAGTCTAGTCTAGTCTAGTCTAGTCTATAGTCTAGTCTAGTCTAGTCTAGTCTATAGTCTAGTCTAGTCTATAGTCTAGTCTATAGTCTAGTCTATAGTCTAGTCTATAGTCTAGTCTATAGTCTAGTCTAGTCTAGTCTAGTCTATAGTCCATAGTCTATAGTCTATAGTCTAGTCTAGTCTAGTCTAGTCTAGTCTAGTCTAGTCTAGTCTAGTCTATAGTCTAGTCTAGTCTATAGTCAAGTCTATAGTCTAGTCTATAGTCTAATCTATAGTCTAGTCTATAGTCTAGTCCATAGTCTAGTCCATAGTCTAGTCTATAGTAACTATAGTCAATAGTGTAGTCAATAGTCTAGTCAATAGTCTAGTCCATAGTCTAGTCTATAGTCTAGTCCATAGTTTAGTCTATAGTCTAGTATATAGTCCAGTCTATAGTCTAGTCTATAGTCCAGTCTATAGACTGATTTTTGAAAAATTTTATTTAAAAAAAATTTTGAAGAAAATTGTTTATACAATTTTTTTTTTACAAAATAAAATACTTTTTTAACACACTATGGTAAAGGGAATATAAGATTCGCCACAGCCGATTATAACCCTTGTTTTCTTTTATTCATTCAAGGTGGATAGTTAATGTAAATGAGAAGTTTTATACTTTACTATACATTTGTAACAATTGTAAACATTTTTGCAAATTTGCAACAATTTTTATACATTTTTATTTTTTTCACAGTACACAGGATTTTTTTATTATTATTTGTTTGCCAAAGAATTGATGTTTGTTCTCCTACTTAAATTGTAAAATAAAAAGTTTTTTTTTTCTGAAGTTAAACTCTGTATTAGTGATGCTGTAGTTAAACATTTATTTAAATTAACTACGATTTCTTATGATTAATGTATACAGAAAGAAATAAATTGTGTATTTACATTCATTAGTTAAAAAAAATTTAATTCTTCTATTTATACCAAAAATTTTCTTCCTTTTTCTATTTACAGAGCGTAAACTTTTCGTTGGCATGTTAAATAAGAAGTATAATGAAGCTGATGTCCGACAATTGTTTGCCGGTCATGGCACCATCGAGGAGTGCACGGTTTTGAGGGATCAAAATGGTCAAAGTAAAGGTTGTGCTTTCGTTACATTCGATACTAAACAACATGCCATCGGTGCCATTAAAGTAAGTAAAAATTCGTTTTAAAGACTGACACTTTTTAAAAATATAAGTTTAAACTTTATAGTTTTATGGTTATAATTTTGTGAAATTTTCTAAAAATTACTCACGTTATTTAGTTAAACGTGATTTTATTTTTCATACATGATTATTACCAGTCATTTTCACAGCAATTTGTATGGGTGTGTGTGCAAGGCATGCAAATTTTTATATAATCTACGTAGATATATAGTAATAAAACTGTTTATGGATTTAAACCTAAAAGTTCTTTTGAAATGTAAGAGCTGATACTGAAATAGTTCAATCTATTATAAGTTCTTGGAAACAAAAAAACGTTTCAATCGAATTTCTGAATAATTCATACATATATCCAAGATTTGGCACCTCAAATGTGGATTGATATACATACATCTCCAAATCTATAGGATTTTTGTAGAAATATTAAATAATTCCAAAATTTATCTAAACCCTAAAATTACTTAAAATTTTAAGAAAACATTTTTAGTCTGGCCTCGTTTATTCTCATGCAGTTGTTTTCGTTTATGTATGTGTTAAAAATTTCTGGCTTGTATGCAAAATTTATTGCCTACTTTTTCACTACGTCTTTCTTTTAGTAGTTTTTTGTCTTATTGCTTTGCAATTTTTATTGTATTTCGTCGTTTTGCTGCAAATTGTGAGCCATTTGTTTTATAGTCACATTGCATTTAGAGTTTATGACTCACACATTTAAGTTTTCATCTAAAATGGACTAGTATGAACTATATATTCTGAAAGCATACATAACATAGTCATATTGTTTGTAACATTTGGCAATAGACCTAGACAGATCTCTAGCACAAATTTAAATAAATTCGATTCCTTATGAACTAGCGCAGAACTAAAACTGAACTACAACTTAACTACAACTTAACTAGAACTGAACTAGAAATGAACTAGAACTGAACTAGAACTGAACTAGAACTGAACTAGAACTGAACTAGAACTGAACTAAAACTGAACTAGAACTGAACTAGAACTGAACTAGAACTGAACTAGAACTGAACTAGAACTGAACTAGAACTGAACTAGAACTGAACTAGAACTGAACTAGAACTGAACTAGAACTGGACTAGAACTGAACTAGAACTGAACTAGAACTGAACTAGAACTGAACTAGAACTGAACTAGAACTGAACTAGAACTGAATTAGAACTGAACTAGAACTGAACTAGAACTGAACTAGAACTGAACTAGAACTGAACTAGAACTGAACTAGAACTGAACTAGAACTGAACTAGAACTGAACTAGAACTGAACTAGAACTGAACTAGAACTGAACTAGAACTGAACTAGAACTGAACTAGAACTGAACTAGAACTGAACTAGAACTGAACTAGAACTGAACTAGAACTGAACTAGAACTGAACTAGAACTGAACTAGAACTGAATTAGAACTGAACTAGAACTGAACTAGAACTGAACTAGAACTGAACTAGAACTGAACTAGAACTGAACTAGAACTGAACTAGAACTGAACTAGAACTGAACTAGAACTGAACTAGAACTGAACTAGAACTGAACTAGAACTGAACTAGAACTGAACTAGAACTGAACTAGAACTGAACTAGAACTGAACTAGAACTGAACTAGAACTGAACTAGAACTGAACTAGAACTGACCTAGAACTGAACTAGAACTGGACTAGAACTGAACTAGAACTGAACTAGAACTGAACTAGAACTGAACTAGAACTGAACTAGAACTGAACTAGAACTGAATTAGAACTGAACTAGAACTGAACTAGAACTGAACTAGAACTGAACTAGAACTGAACTAGAACTGAACTAGAACTGAACTAGAACTAGAACTGAACTAGAACTGAACTAGAACTGAACTAGAACTGAACTAGAACTGAACTAGAACTGAACTAGAACTGAACTAGAACTGAACTAGAACTGAACTAGAACTGAACTAGAACTGAACTAGAACTGAACTAGAACTGAACTAGAACTGAACTAGAACTGAACTAGAACTGAACTAGAACTGAACTAGAGACTGAACTAGAAACTGAACTAGAACTGAACTAGAACTGAACTAGAACTGAACTAGAACTGAACTAGAACTGAACTAAAACTGAACTAGAACTAACCTAGAACTGAACTTAAACTAGAAATGAAGCTTTCATACTAAGTAAGTAATTCATTACAAATTACGTAAAACTGTCATGTTTCTAAATGGGCTTCCAAGATTCATCTGTGCTGACTGTACAGTTAGTTCTTTTTATTATTTTTTTCAACTTTTTTTTGAGCTTATTTTTAATGCCAAAGTAAATTCGAAAGATTATTGTGTTGTCCAGAGTTTAAATATTAGTAGATGCTTTTATATTTTTATTTTTGACTTTGCAATAAATATGCATTTACCTCATATTTAAAAATATGCATATTTAAAAAATGGTTCTGTTCAAAATATTTCTAGTATTTTTGCTAAAAATATTTACCCATACAAACTATTGCATATTACAGCTTACAGACAAATATAAAATGATTTCACTTACAATATATTACGCAGCAACTCGCTAACATATTTATAATACCCACATATATTTCATATGGCTTGCCTATAATATTAAAATATTTTCCTACACAAATTATTCGCAGTCAACAATATTGAAGCCATGCGAGCAGTAATATACGAACATGAAATGTACGCAAGCAGAGCATATATGTGCCGACGAAAACACGAAACAAAACGATAGTCGCGACTATCAGGTTACAATATTTTTACTATCAAACTTAAATATTATTTACTATAGGAAATGACTTATGGTCTAAAATTTAACATTTCATGTTGAACTTGAAAAATTATAAAATGTGAAAAATGTATGCAAGATATAACCAAATTTTATTTAGAAAATAATTGAAAACGTTTATATCTATGTATGTTTTATGTATATTATGGGAAAAATGTATGCATGAAATAACCAAATTTTAATTAGAAAATTTTTGAATTGAATTATTGAATGTATGTATTTATTAAATTTATGTTTAATTTTTATGTGGAGTATTAAAATGTATGTATTTGTATTGATTGTAATATAATTAGAAAAAAATTATATAAATACTTAGAGGATCATATGAATGTAAAAATATATTCAAATATGTACATATATATGTAAAAAATTGTTTTTACAGGCTATATTTAAACATATTGTTTGTAACAGGATGACAATAAGTTTGTAAACAGGTAGTAATGCATTAGTAGTGTCTATGAAATGATCAATAATGAAGGAAATTATAGGTATTTTAGAAATTTGTAACAGGATGGCAAAAAATTAAGAGGGGACATAAAAACATAAAAAGTTGTTTTTGTAATTTTACATTGTGAAAGGTTAAAACAACAAAAATGTATGAGTGTATTACATACATATACAAGTATGTTTTTCATATGCATGTGTCACATTTCTATAAATTATTATTACATACACTCAATTATCTTACAATAATGAATGAACAGGCGCGAAGAAAAAAATATATAGGTGTTAATAAATTTGCATATGCCATTGCCAACCTTTTGAATTTGCATGAGAGAGACTAAATAATAATGATATTTCTTTCCTCTTCTCCCCACCACAAATTCAAGTAAAGCAAAAAAAAGCATCTTGCGTAAACCATCGTTAAGGAATGTGCGTAAAATGATAAAGTAGGAAAGAGAATTTCTACTACAGGTCATTTTTATGACGAATGTATTTTTGCATCACACGTACATATCTTCTTCCCTCCACCAATTCAGGGAAAAAATGACCTATCGTAATCCACCGTTATGGAATGTGCGTGAAAAGTAGGAAAGAAAAGTGCTGTTACAGGTCATTTTTATGACGAATGTGTTTTTTGTTATTGTTTCACACATACTTACATACATACATATGTATATACAAAACCAGATATAAATGGTGTTGCATATTTGAATATATTTTTACATTCATATGATCCTCTAAGTATTTATATAATTTTTTTCTAATTATATTACAATCAATACAAATACATACATTTTAATACTCCACATAAAAATTAAACATAAATTTAATAAATACATACATTCAATAATTCAATTCAAAAATTTTCTAATTAAAATTTGGTTATTTCATGCATACATTTTTCCCATAATATACATAAAACATACATAGATATAAACGTTTTCAATTATTTTCTAAATAAAATTTGGTTATATCTTGCATACATTTTTCACATTTTATAATTTTTCAAGTTCAACATGAAATGTTAAATTTTAGACCATAAGTCATTTCCTATAGTAAATAATATTTAAGTTTGATAGTAAAAATATTGTAACCTGATAGTCGCGACTATCGTTTTGTTTCGTGTTTTCGTCGGCACATATATGCTCTGCTTGCGTACATTTCATGTTCCTATATTACTGCTCGCATGGCTTCAATATTGTTGACTGCGAATAATTTGTGTAGGAAAATATTTTAATATTATAGGCAAGCCATATGAAATATATGTGGGTATTATAAATATGTTAGCGAGTTGCTGCGTAATATATTGTATGTGAAAACATTTTATATTTGTCTGTAAGCTGTAATATGCAATAGTTTGTATGGGTAAATATTTTTAGCAAAAATACTAGAAATATTTCGAATGGGAGCAATTAAATATATTATATTCATAAAATATATTTATATTTTAATATTACATACGTATGCATAGGAGAAAATATGCATTTTGGTTACTAATATATTAGTAATTTTAATCACTGGTGTTGTCACATTTATTAGACACGTTATCGTCAACGATTTTAAAGAGGTCTTTAAGGAAAATTGAGAATTTAAATTATGCAAATTGAGATTTTGTTATAATGGAGAATTCAACAGGAAAACTAATTGGTTAAGTTTATGCAATTTAAACGTTATGGGTTTTTCAATATGGACAATGTTGTGTCTCTGGTAGGCAAATTATGTAGTAGAAACATTTTGACTCTTTTTAATATAAAAAGATCAAGTTAAAATCTTTGTACTATAGTACAGATTTGTTTCCTTAGGGATTTTAACCCTTTTATATTTAAACACTTTATTTGTATTTATAAATACATTAATATAATGAAAATTACTGCTTCTGAAATATGCATTAAAGACCTTTTTCCTTATATGTTTCCTAAACTTATCTCATAAAACAATAACAAGGACACTGAAACACATATTGAAACAGCAAATGAAAACTTAAACAAGAAATTCTCCGAAAATGCTAAAAAACGGACATACAAACAAACAAGTAGTAGCTGCAATCCCTTGGCGGGTAGTGTTTTGGTATTTGTGGTTGCAGCGGAAATAGTCAACCACAAAATGGTTGTGTAAGATTGCACAGGAAACAAGTAAAATTACAAATTTCCGGTAAACAAAACTGTTATAACAGCAACAACAACAGCAGTTGTCGCAAAAAAAGAAGAACAAAATGTGCAAAAGAAAATATCAAAACAAATGATAAAAACGTATACATAAAGACAAACACTTACAAATGTGAGTGTTTGAGGCAAACGATACATACAACAACTAATTTGTTGTAGTCTTTGTGGTAGTCTAGCCAAAAATTATGTATACATTTATTTAATTTTAACAGCAACACATTTATTACTAAATTAAATTTAATATAAATTCATTTTTACTTTCCTTTCACTAGGCCCTACACCACAGTCAAACTATGGAGGGTTGTTCGGCACCACTCGTTGTTAAATTTGCCGATACACAAAAGGAAAAGGATCAAAAGAAATTGCAACAACTGCAGGTGGGCATATGTGGCATAACAACGCTGACAACACCACCAGCCCAGACAACAGTCATTGGCGCTTTAGCAGCACCTCCCTCAGCGGCCAACGCCTTAAGTCCTACCAATGCCCTAGTGCCAACACCTGTAGCCGCCACAACACGTACAAATCCCACCATGGCTGCTCTGCATGCCGCCATCGCTGCCCCACCACCAACTCTACCGACCGCAACGGGTGCTACAGCTGGCATTATACCCACATCGGCTGCCAGTCTATCGGCTGTAACACCAACAATGTTGGTAACCGCTGCCAGTACGACACATCAGCAAACTTCACCGTATTTAACCACAGCCGATGGCATGTTATCCAATTCGGCAGCAGCGGCCGCCGCAGCCCAAATGCAAATATTCCAACAACTGCAAGCTTTTGGCTTACAACCGGCACATTATCTACAAGGTGAGTGTTGCAATAATTTATACACAACGTAGTCAGTATGTTGAGGAGTTTGTTCAAACAAACATTATTTAATTTTATTTTTTTTATTATTAAAAAAAAATATTTATTTATTTTATTTATATGGATTAGGCCATATAAAAATTCCTTTTTCTCATTGATTTCGTTTATTTGAATACTTTTTTTTCTACAAAATTGTGTTTTTCCTTTTCCCCAACTCCTATTTTGTTATCCTGTTTTCATTACAAACCAACTGCCAAAATAAAAATCATTATAATTTTCATTATTCTTAGTGTAATTAGAGCGTGTTTTTAGTTGTTTGTTTTGTTATATATTTTTTTTGTTTCCAAAATTTTTATTAGTGCTGTAATTTTAATGGGTACTCGTTTACTTCATTTTTGGTTATTTTCAAAATATCCTTTATGTCCTTTATAAAGATAAACTTTTATCCAATTTATTTGTAATGAAATTTCCGATTTTTAGTGGAAAATCGGTCGTTTTAGTAAAAATTGTTTTTTTTTTTAGTAAAAATAGCTTTTTTATAAAAATAGTTTTTTAGTTAAAAATCGGTTTTTAGTGTAATATCGAAAGCTTTAGATTTTTTTCAATATTCTCTCTGAAAAAAATGTTTTCTTATTGAAATACATATTTTACTTTGAATAAAGCTTTCAGTTTTAAGAAACCTATAACACAAGTTCTACCCTCTGAGCTTTTGTTTTTCACTAAAACTATAAACTTTTTCTGATTAAAAGTTAGTACTTCTTTCTAAGAAAAAGCATAAGATTAAGCCATTGTATTCAAAAAAAGCTTTAAAGAATTATCTTACAGAACAATATATTTCTGTAAAAGCTTTCGCTTTCCATTAAATCCACAAGCCTTTACTGATCAAAGCTTAAAGCTATTTGGCAAAATTAATCATTATTATTGGAAATAGCTTTCACGCTTCTACCATATTTCTTTTATTTTTTTTTTTTTTTTTTTTTTTTTTTTTGAAAAAGCTTTCGTTTTCAACTAAATTCACAAGAATTTTATCTTTAAAACTGGGAGCTCTTTCTCTTGAAAACGCTTTACATTTGGACATTTTTGTTAAGGAAAAGCTTCCACAAGCTTTTACCGATTAAAACTGGAACTCTTTTCATTCGGAATTGCTCTTTTATTTCAAAATCCTCTCACAAAACATATATCCTTCTGCAAAAGCTTTCATTTTCGATTGTATCAAAGGTTTTTTCTTCTTTTAGGTTTATCATTCAAGCAAGCTTTTACGAAATCTCTTTTCGTAAAGCTTTTTTATTTCAATAATTCTCGCACAGAACACATTTCCTTCTGGAAAAGCTTTAATTTTCAACTGAATCTAAGGTTTTCTATTGCTTATAATATTGACAAAAATTAAGCTTTATTATTGAAAGAATGCCTTCACGAAATCTCTCAAAGAATTTTTTTTATGAAAAACTTTATCTCATTAAAATTTTAGACTTTTTTCTTGGAAAAAGCTGTACATTTTGACAAATCAGTGATTATTATTTAAAAAAGCTTTGACGAAGTCTTTCAAAGAACTTATTCTGGAAAAGCTTTCGTTTTTTTATTTTTTTTTTTTGCTAAATTCTAAAAGTTTTTGTCATGTTAACCTATAACGCTTTCTTTTTGGAAAATCATTAGATTTTGGTAAAATTTGTGGAAAAGCTTTCGTTTTCCACTAAATCCTAAAAGTTTTCATTTGGAATTGCTCTTTTATTTCAAAAATCTCTTACAAAACATATATCCTTCTGGAAAAGCTTTCATTTTCGATTGAATCAAACGTTTATTCTTCTTTAAGATCTTTATTTTTGAAAAAATGCTTTTAAAACTTGCAACTTTTTCTTTTGGAAAAGAGCGATATATTTTGACAAAATTTAGGTTTATAATTCAAGAAAGCTTTTACAAAATCTCTTTTCATAAAGCTTTTTTATTCCAATAAATCTCGCACAGAACATATTTCCTTCTGGAAAAGCTTTAATTTTCAACTGAATCTAACGTTTTCTATTGCTTATAATTTTAACAAAAATTAAGCTTTATTATTGAAAGAATGCCTTCACGAAATCTCTCATAGAATTTATTTTTTTCGTTGAAAACTTTATCTCATTAAAATTTGAAACTTTTTTCTTGGAAAAAGACAAAATCAGTGATTATTATTCAAAAAAGCTTTAACGAAGTCTTTCAAGGAACTTTTTCTTTCTGAAAAAGCTTTCGTTTTTTTGCTAAATCCTAAAAGTTTTTGTCATGTTAACCTATAACGCTTTCTTTTTGAAAAATCATTAGATTTTGGTAAAATTTGTGGAAAAGCTTTCGTTTTCCACTAAACCCTAATAGTTTTCATTATGTCAACCTATAAAGCTTTCTTCAAAACGAGTACTTTCTTCTTAAAATTACAGCACTAATTCATTTCTTTTCACACCTCTCCCCTTCACTTTTATTTTTGTTTAAAATAAACCTGTGAAATTTATGCATAATAATTGAAATATGCCAAAATAAGAAAGCAAAACCCAAAAACCAAATCTTTATATGTATTCTGTTATAATTTTTTATATAGTTTTTTTTTTGTGTTTTATCAAAATTAGTTAAGCATTTGTTTAATCATACACGTGGGATGTTTTACTGTCAAATACAAAAATAGTTTGGCAGCAAAAAAGTCGAAGAAATGCAAATGTTTCCAATAAAGATGATTTAAATTATTATTATGTAATAACAAAAAACTAAATTTAAAAAAATAATATAAAAAGTTTATATGCGCCCCCGGGTGGGCTCGAACCACCAACCTTTCGGTTAACAGCCGAACGCGCTAGCCAATTGCGCCACGGAGGCTTATACCCACTGTGCGTTTATAGAGATATTTGAAATTGAATCAGTATATTTCTACATTAAGGGTGGTTTAGTTAAAGAACTATTCTTATGCTTCAGTTTAACTTTAGTTTGCGAACTTGAAGAAAATTTATAAAAATTACTGATATACACATACATATCTACTTACATACACAAGCTAAAAATAAACTAAATATTTATGTATTTGAATAAATTAATATTTAACTATCACATTAAAATATGAATTTTAAAGAAATTATTTATTTTAACTAATAATTTACAAAACTTTAAATAATGTAAATTATTTTTAAGTCGAACTTTCTAGAAAGTGCAACTAAAAGTTAATACATAATAAATTTTGGAAAAAAATAAAATAATAAAAAATTCAATGCGCCCCCGGGTGGGCTCGAACCACCAACCTTTCGGTTAACAGCCGAACGCGCTAGCCAATTGCGCCACGGAGGCTATATGCCCACTGTGCGACCTATTAGCTATTTACACATAAATCTGAGGATTGAAAATCCTCCAGGTCCTTAATCCTCAAGGACCAATGTAACAGAAATAACATTTCTTAAGAAAATAATGTATTCTAAACAAATAAAAGAAGATGATACCATCAATTTTTAATCAAATTCAAAGGATTCTCTTATATTCTAATTTCAATTTTAAATTTAATATGAAATACTGCAAAAAAAAAGCTTTTGCGCCCCCGGGTGGGCTCGAACCACCAACCTTTCGGTTAACAGCCGAACGCGCTAGCCAATTGCGCCACGGAGGCATATGAGGGGTCTGAAGCAAAAATTTCAAAGGTCAACTTTACATACATAAGTCCAAAAGTAAAAGAAATGAAACTCTGACCTCAAAACTTTACTACATAATAACTAATCGAATTCAGTTTTTAATAGGTCAAAAATTTGCAGATCACTTCATCATTTATCCTTTATTCAGTTAGCGAACATTACATAACCAAATACATATGTTCTAATTCCTAAACAGTATTAAAAAAGAAAGCTCACAAATTACCATTCTCTCAAATAGATTTAGATAGCGGATTTAAATCCCTTAATCAGCAAAATAATTCAAACTTGTCTTTATTATAGGACCTGACCGAATTTCCTTAGAAACTTTTTTCGAAATATTTGAAGCCCAATATGTATATAGAAATTGACTTTTAAAGTTATTCTTCTTAAGAACTCGAGATGATCTCGATCTATCTATAAACACAGGGGACGGGACCAAGACCTACCAAGGAATATACATAATTTTTTACTGCGCTAAAGAAAGCTTACTTTTAAAAGCAATCGCCCCCGGGTGGGCTCGAACCACCAACCTTTCGGTTAACAGCCGAACGCGCTAGCCAATTGCGCCACGGAGGCATGTGCAGCACTGCTCAGTTAAATGGATTATAAATACCAGAAAAGAAAGGGTTAAATGGAATAATTAATGCCTTCATCATCTAAAGGATTACGTTTTACCATCTAACAATAAAAAACCATGTCTAAGTTAATAATGATTACAGATGATTTGATAATTACTTTATTAATGTTATAATATTTTCTTTAGTTTTGAATTTAAATCTGTACAGATGTAATAATACAAAATAGTTGCGCCCCCGGGTGGGCTCGAACCACCAACCTTTCGGTTAACAGCCGAACGCGCTAGCCAATTGCGCCACGGAGGCTACATGACCACTGTCCAGTTAAACAATTTCAAAAAAAAAAAAAAATGTTATTTATAGTAAAAATATTTAAAGATGAATTTTTCATCAACTTTCTTTTATAATGTTATGACTTTTGAAGCCAAAATCTAAGTGACCACAATTTATGTGGTAACACCCACCACCAAGTGTAAGCGGTTAAAGAGCTTTTCTAAGCATCGTAAACTGACCAAATTCCAAACATTACATAATAACTTTATGTTTCTGTTTTTAAAGGGCAATTTTTAGAAAATATTTGAAACGCCCCCGGGTGGGCTCGAACCACCAACCTTTCGGTTAACAGCCGAACGCGCTAGCCAATTGCGCCACGGAGGCAATGTGCCCACTGTGCGAAAATATTTTTCCAAAAAATGGTTTCCAAAAATAATTTCTTAGAATACATCGTTGTTCTCTAGAAAAATTAAAAATTGGATTTTATTACTGATTAGAATTGCAAAAATTTAAGACCTAA